CAAACGATTCCTTTTCTTTATAATTAAAATTTGAAAATATTTATAAAAAGTTAAGTAATTTTATTTTAAAATTCGCCCCTCAGCTTCAAAATATTATAATTATACATGTTGAAATGATTATTTTTGCTTTTTCAAGTTAGATCACTTTGGTCTGAAGTTTTAAAAAAAAAAACCTGAAAAATAGAGGAAAACAAAAATGAATAAAATCACTTATTTAACTGATGCAGTACCCGATGCGGTCGAAAAAACCTGCATGAAAATAAAATAGAGATAAATAAAACTAAAACTAAAATAAAAATAAAAATAAAAAATAAATTTAAAAAAGGAATTTACTTATTTGCCAAAAACTGAATAAAAATAAAATCGAATTAAAAAAATATAAAAAAATTTAAAAATAAATAAAAATAAATAAAAATGAAATAGAAAAAAAGAAAGAAAAAGAAAAACCTACATTAAGAATGTCTGAAACTTCAATTTCAGTCAACAGATTAATCGAAATCGAAAATCAAGGTTCGAATTTCGATTGAATCGAGTTTGGCTGGGCTACTGCACATCACTGACATTTATGCAATTTGAAAATTCAACGATCTGCGCGTCAGAATTAATCAGCATCATAATTACATCAAGATTCGTCATCCCCAAAGAAAATTATATATCGGGACATGATATACGACGTAAAAAAATTGGTATATATGGTTTACTTGAAGCTCCCGTAATTCAAATAAAAAATTTTTTAAACTTTAATTGTTTTAAATCATAATTATTGAATCCACAGCAAAAATAACATAATAAAGATGTTGAAAAGATATACTCATGTATATGAATCAATTATAATATGTTTAATTTTATTTATAATTTGGAATCTTTCTTCCATTAATCATAATGAATTCTTTTCAAATGAGTACGAGAACGTGAATGAGTCTTCAATATTATCTGACACAGAATTAAATCAAAAATATTGTGGTTCGTCGCAATGTAAATTCCTATTTCTATATAAAGTTATAGAACAGGAATCAAAAGCTCGAAAGCATTTCAAACAATTCGTTCAAATCGCCCAAAAACTTGATCGAACGTTAGTATTAACGAACGTTGGTGAATCCCGAATCGGCGCTTGTTTAAAATATCCATTTACTTATTATTATTCAAAAGAATTTCTTCAACAGAATTATCCCGATTTAAGAGTTATAACTCAACAACAATTTTCCGAATGGACGAGATTACGTAGACAGAAACCTTCCTCCCATCAAATCCTTTTTCAAGAATCTCATAAACTCGGATTTGTTGAAAACGAACCGATTCTTTCCAAATTAAAAAGTGATTTATGTCATGGTGAATTCGAAGTTGATTTTGATAACATCAAATTTTATAATTTAAGTATGGGCGTACTCAAACCGGGAAAGATTCATAAGAATTTATTAAATTTTATTTTTGATACCCTTAAACGATTTGACGATGTTGAAATCTTATTAATGAATCAAAAATTTCATTATGAATTCTTTCCAAAACTTGTACCCGATTTAAAGTATGCGCCTCATATACTTGATAAGGCTTTGACGATCACTCAACATTTACAACCATTCATAGCTGCTCAATGGAGGATGGAACTTGGAAATCCTTTAAATATGCCAAGATGTGCTGAAAAGTTGGTATCACACGTAGAATCTTTAAAAGTCATTTATAACACTCGAAATTTTTATCTTGCTACCGATTACCCTTTAAAAGATTCTTTGTCTCAATCCTTCACATTTGGTAATGTGAAAATGGAATATCACGGAAAAGCAATTGAGATTTTAAAAGATAGAATTGACTTTCTTAGTTGGTTAAATTACACTTCAACTGATCAATTTGGTAATGAAATGGATGTTAAAGATTTCGCTCACAGTGGTATACCGGGAATTTTAGATAAAATCGTATGTTCAAGAGCAAAAATATTTTTAACTGCGCCTCCGGATTGCAGAAAGCGCACCAGCTCTTACACGAAGATGATTAATAGTGAAAGACTTTCTTTGATGAAAACGGGTGTTAATGGAATTGATAATATAAATTTTGAATGGTAGATTTGGGGAATAAAAAAAGTCTCAACCCTACGTTTGTTAGAAGGCATTATATTTAATATTTAATATTTAATATTTAATATTTAAAATTCATATAATAGTATACTAAAGTAATAAAAATTTCAATAACCATAACTAAAATAGCGAACAAGAACTTCGCGATATAATTAGAATTCACTCTCTCTTATTTAAATCCATCCTTGCTTGTATTTCAAAAAATCATCATGTAAAAGAAATGTGAAAATTTAAGCACTTCCGTATAATCTTTTCTTTAATCTTGCCCAACGCTGACGGCATGAATCACCCGAACGATTAAGATGGTAATTTCTAGAAATTTGTATCCAAGATGGAGATAATTGAGTCAAAACTCCGTCAATAAGTTTTCGGTCTTCCTCAGGAGTCCATGGTGTAACATTACGAGCTATCGCCAAAGGAATACGTGTTTGGTTTGAAAATTTTTTGTTGGAACTTTCTTCTACTTCAGATAAAGTATGAGATTCAGGTGAATTTGCAGAGAATATAGAGTTTGGCTTAATAGAATTGGGACTCCATGGTTCCTAAAATACATATCAAAATAAAACGATCCGCAAAGAATTTTAATGAAATTAAAAAAAAAAAATCATACCTCTTTGCCTGTTGTGGGATTAATGAAGATAACATCATCATCATCTTCCGGCTGCTTTTGTTCTTCAATCATAACGAATTCGTCTTCAGTTTGGAGTTTATAGATTGAATTTTTATGTGATTTAATTTTCTTAAATCCTTGCCTTTGAGAAGTTGGATATTCATCGTCCACATTAAAACTTTCTTCATCTGTAAGGTATATTACTTCACTAAAAACTTTGTCCTTAACCTCATCTCTTGGCAACAATTTAGCAGTCATTTCATCATCTGAATCTCGACCTCCTTCTTCTTTTATAGAACGCAATTGCGAATCCGAGACATCTTTACTAATACGTTTTAATTCATCTTTGTCCTCCTTAATATAAGAAATCTCGTGTTCATTATTATTTTTTTTCAATTCAGCGAATGTAGGTCTATCATCGATAATTTGATCACGATAATGTTGATTATGATCCAAGAATGGAATTTTCTCAATAGTTTCCACAAGTTTTGTATCATCAAATTTTAAAACACGAGGGGTAAAATCTACTTCTTGATTTTGAACAATTAATTGTTCTTTATCATCATAATTCGGTTCCATTTTAATCGCATTATTCAGAAATGTAGTATTTGTTCTTTGATAATTAGAACTGATAATCTCTGAAACTTCCTCCATACAGTATTTTGATAACAAGAATTGTTGAAAATTACCCTTATGAGAAAAAATTTATTACAATAATAAAATATACTTTCTTTTTGTCAAATAAATTGATATATTATATACTCGGATCAATATTATAAAGATCATTACGTTTTCGATAGCAAGATCGGATTAATTCGTAAGTAAAATTATTAATTTTCAAAAATCATAATTTGTTTTTTTTTTTAAAAAAAAAAAAAAATTGATATTACAGTTCCTTTGAAAACAACTGAAATCTTTTTATGAAAAAGAAATTTTATTATAATATCTTTGCAAATTTACAAATTGTTAATTTAAGTTCTAACACCCAAAACAGCAAGATTTCGCAAATTTATTATATTAAAGCTGAATAAATATCCAAGTAAAAAGGATAATGTCGCCCTATCCATTCTAATTATGGACCCCAGCAGAATTATTGGCTGTCGAAACACCTTTACCACGTGTCTCATTTAACATTGCTAAAGAAGTAAAATATTTAAATATCAAGAAATAAAGATTGATTTAAGATCTTTAATATTAAACGGTATCGCGAGACTTACTTCTATGATTTTTATCAGGTGACTTTTCATGTCCTTTATGAGATTTATGAATAGTTCCATGCTGAAGAATTTGTTCTATGACTTCCATAGTGTTGGATGTGCCAAAAGCATTTTCAAGTCTTTGTTTTGAGGAACGACCTGCTATACCTTCATTACCTCCATTCACAATTTCAAAGACATCGAAAGCTATTATGAAAAAACATTTTAGTCAAGACTTATTGCTTCGTTAAAAAACTAAAAAACTAAAAAAAAAACACACCTTGAACGACATCAGCAATTGGAATTGTTTTATCTTTTCTCCATTTCAAAACCTATCAAGAGAGAGAAAAAGAAAAAAAGGTGAGAGATCATGTGAAAGGAACACTTGCAATTAATTTAATTTTTACCTGATCTGGATTTCCAAAAACGAAAAATTCTTCACGGCTATCTTTAGATTTGTAAATAATACGGGTATCATCTTGTGAAACGGACATCTTTTTTAACGTTGTGTAAATTTATTTTGAAAAAAAAAAAAAAATAAGGAAAAACCTAAAAGTTCAATAGTCAAAGTATTTATATATTCCCATAAACCTGTGATGAGCCTCTCTCTATGATATCATTGTATGTAATTGTTTCTCATGGCGTGAAGATATTAACAAATTTGGCTAAATTTATATGCCTCTGACGACACTCTGAGTGAATTGTATCACGTGCCGTTTTTGTAATACAAACATGTATCACATTATATATTATATGATATATGTGTAAACTAAATATTTATTTTTAAATTTAAAACATAAAATATAAAAATAAATTTATTATCAAATTTACCAATTATAAATCTAATATTTTAAAAGTTTCAGTAATACAAACTTACTGCGCAAAATTTAACTTCGATCAGCTTTTCATCGCTTTTTTTCTCACTGCTTCGGTGAAATTTGTCATTTCCATGTGGCTTTTACATTATATCAAACAAAATTCGCCAGCGAATTTTCCTCACATGATACGAAAAATAAACCGAAAAAATCGAGCTTAAATCATAAACTCACCGCAGAAAATCGAAAAATTTAAGCCACGTGATGCTGGCTACGCCACAAAAAGCACAGAAATTTCTTTTAACTTCTCCCTACACAGATTCAGTTCAAGATCTTTCAAAAAATGATAGGTTTTATTGTTGTAGGATGAGCGTCCTGAGCAAGGGATCTGAAAAAATTACAATCAGTTAACGTGGGGCACCGTTAATGTATAATGATTTTTTCAGGATGCAATGTGGTTATCGGAAAATTCCGGTATAAAATATTAAATTTTTACTTTAAATACCAGAATGGTTTCTACCAAAGACTTTGAAGAAATTGATACCCAACTGTTATCGAATGAATTTATCTGAGGGTAAAATAGATATCATTCCTGTGTATCACAATACTGGTATGCTATTTTTTTTTTGATTTTATATAATATGAGTTGAAAGTGCTAAATTCCATAAAAATACAAATAGGCCGAAGAGAAGCTATTCTTGGTAATCAGATCACTACATGGTGCCTTAATAATATGGCCTTAGTTGGAGAGTTCGGCGGACCAAATGTATGTTGAAAATTATCATATTGACTCGCTTTTTCCTTTGTATTAATATGATATTCATTTTTTTAAAAAAATATAAATATAAATATATATATATATATATCATTTGACTGTAGACCGGCTGGACTTTACCTTTGCCCGATACTCCTGTTAGATGCCCCGGTTACTCCGTCGTGCTTATTGCTAGGTTTCTGATTGTTATACATGTGACATTTTTGGAATATTTTTTTTTAACTGTTAATGTTATTGCAGATGGAACATATTATCGAGAGGAAGCATTTCCAGCGATAGCTCCGAACTTTGTCGTTGAAATACGATCACAATCAGATACGGAAGATAAGGTTCATGAAAAGATGATTATGTGGATGAATGCTGGAGTTGAAGTAATTTACTAATGGTCATTTGTTGATTATGTTTATTTATTTTTGCTACTAATTATTAATGTCATGTTTATAGGAAGGATTTTCTATCGACCCGTTTACTCATAAAGCACGTATCTATCGCCGTCAGTTCCATTGGCGTGAAAACGTCAATCCTTCCATTTTGACTTCAAATGTTCTTAACGGATTTGTCCTCAACTTACAAGGAATCATTTAAGGTAATTATTAATAAAAGATTTAACCCGTCATGATTGGATCAATTTCCAAAGAAAAGAAACCAATTCGGTGATTTTTCATAACCTTTTTTTTTGCTAATAATGGGAAGTTTGCACTAAAAGAGTGTATTTGAATAACTTCGTGATTTCATGTCAACTTGCAACTTGTAAATTAAAAAAAATCCACAAAAGTTAAATTTATGTTTATTTTATTACATTACATATTAATATGATATTTTTCTAACTTTAGGTTAAATCCTCCAAACCAAAGAAATTAAATATTTTTTTATCTTAAAAATATGTAATGCGAAATATTTAATCCGGAAATATGTAATGCACAACTTTACATTTATAAAAAGGTTGTTTTTTCCAAGTTCCTCATGTGTAAACATTATGAAAAAGTACTCACGTTCGAAAACTATTAAGATATCATCTTGTTGAAATTTTTAATTTTCACATGTGAAGATACTTTATTATATGTAATTCTTGTCATCCAGGTCGATTATGAAAAGAATGGCAGAGGCTTTCAAAAAAGAACAAATTACCATTAATTTGTAAAATAAGTACATAATAACGAGTAAATACTAACTGTTTGTGCGAACATTTCATTACAAATGCTTATAATGCTTCTTCAATAATTTTTCCGGTTGTCAAAGTCCATTTACATTCTTGTGGAACTTTTTTATATATAGCCGTGAATTGTTGATACGCAAATGAATTGCGTTATCAAGAGTGTTATCCTCAACATCCACGTTTTCTTTATCAGGTTTGAAAAAGGCAAGAAGACAATTGTTCTGAGATTATTGTAAGTATTTAGTACTAACCTTCTTGGTCCTCGCAGGGAAATTAAAGTGCTATCACATTTATCGCCCCCTCTTTGTATAGTAAGCACAGTTGTTTCCTATAAAATTGACCTGATTCATCAAAGTATAAAGGGTTTCCTTATCATAGGTACTTTGAATTTGACGCTAATATTTAATTATAAAATGTTTCTTTCAGGAAAATATGCATTAATAAAAGTAGAAATTGATACTGAAATATTTTTTGCATTACATGTATTCTTTCAATGATCATTTCTTGCCAAAAGGTACAAAAGTCATATTTTGTACGCTCTAGGACCAACTTGTTAAATAGAGTAGATAATTAACATATAAATTTCATTATTCTACCAATCTAACAAACCAAACTGGAACGGTTCGCAAAAGTAGGACAAGAAAACTTCTGATGCTTCAAGAGCAGGTAACACCTGTCAAGAAGACTCTTTCTGGCGAACTAAACAGATAAAAATACCTTCTTTTTCATATCATCAGCTGACTCTATACTCATGTCTTTTACGGCACTGTCAGTTACGAAATCTATGTACAACTAAAGACTGGGATCACGTTCGTTCAAATAATCTACAAAGGCTAAAAGCGATGTGATTAAATTAAAATTCTTTTCTAATATTTATTACTATGCGGCCAGGATACATTTCGGTATGGAACAAAAAGTTAACGTATAATAAATATGATTGGTAAAAAAGTTGGTGTAACTCATTATTAATGAAGTCTCATTAATAAGAAGTTTATAATATCTAACCTAAAAATGATTTAAATTTCAGATGAGTTCACATGATTTTTGTGATGTTAAAATTACGCGAAAATTATTATTTGATGACAAGAATTATCTGCAAATTTTAAAGAATTCCATTTATATAAATCCATGATTTTTCGCCAATTACTTAATTATATTGAACTAAAGATCTTTATGATCTTAATCTTATATTCAACACAACCATAATTTGCATATATAGAATAAAAAAGAAGGATAGTATTTCTATAGTTGTTATTATTTTAATCTTTTTATGATATATTTATATTTTTGTATTTCTTCATCAACTAGATATCACATAGTTCGATATGAATGAATGAGATAGAGTCATGCGATACCATGACGAATGCGGAAGCTGTGGCTAAAATTGATTCTTTTGAAAGTTAAGAGGTTTTATCTCACCTAAAACTTCAACAGTTTATAAAGTTAGAGAATAACCTTTGGAATAAGTGAAAATATCTGGGGCCTTTCCCTCAAGATACTTTGTCATATAAGAATCAACAGCTTTGACAGGTCTAATATTATATAGTTGTGGTAATATCTTTTCTGTAAAATATTTCTGATATACATCTTCTTTGTCAGCTATTAGTGCAGGCATATGGAATGAAAGTAGGTGTTCTGCTAGAGCAAACCACAATGTAGTGTGTATTAGAATGTATGATTTTCACAAGGAGAAGAGGTTGTGAGTAGTAGTTACTTCCAAAATAACTTCAATATGATGCCTTTTATTTCTTTCTCGTTCATATACTAATTTCATTTCAGCTGCTTTACATTTTACTTTTCAAGTTCAACTATAAACGCTTTAAAAATGAAGAAAAATATTACCATGTCTACTCTGCTCTATATATATACTACTCTATGTCTCTAATGCTTGAGTTATAAATTCGTTACTTGCTTTCAATTCTAAGAGAGACTTTAGATATTGAACCTTCTTATTATCATTCTCATAGGTTAGAAGAATAGCAATTGCTTCTACTTTATGAGTAGGATTTTTGATAAAATATCTATGTAGGATCATTTTTTCATCTTTTGTGAGGACAAGATGCAAAATTTCAAGTACAGTTCTATAATTAGATAAGCATTTGATCTAATCAGAGTTAGCAATAAATTATTTATTGAGATAATATGGTTAAAAATCTGATTATTACTTTGATTTACGTGTTGATTAACATTAATTAACCAATTAAATTGCAAATCAATGTAAAACATAAATTTCAATTTAAAAAAAATATAATATTAAAAAATTTTTTCATTATAAAACTGTATTAATTAATACCCTTTATTAATCTGATGTACAATTTTCAATAAATTCTATAAATAATTGTGAAAATAAATTATAATTCATAAATGAGTTAATGTATTAATATCTTTTTCTTTAATGCCATATTAATTTTAGTTTACTTGCTTATATTTCAATTTTCTTCATTTTCTAATTCATCATTATCACTTTGATTTTCATTACAGAATTTGTCTATTTTTTAATATTTTTATCATTTATAATCATTGATTATTTAATTATGATAATTCATCAATTAAATTAAAAAGATATTCAAAATAATATGGACATCTTAAACCTAAAAGTTAAAATATGTTTCATAATATTCATGTTCGTAAATTAATACTATACCATTATTTTATGACAAATCTGAATATTCTAAATAATTACATAATTTATTAGCTTTTGACCATTTTTTTGAATGATATTTTAATAGTAAAACTTATAAGAAAAATTATAATTAAATACAGAAAAATAATCACAGGTAGAATGCTAATAAATCAGATACTAATCAGATATCTATAGATTAACCTATTTATTTCTGATAAGATATCAATTAATAACTTTTTAAATTATAGATGAATAACTTATTAATATAAATTTATAACTTAAATAGGAAATTATTAAATCATCAATTGGATTGTGTTAACTGGTATATAATTAGAATTAAATAAAATTAATTGATTTGATACACTCCCCTGAAGAAAATATCCAGGCACTCAAAAAAAAAATTTATTTTTATTAAAATATTTTCATATTTAATAA